CCATCTATAATGCCCGAGAAGTCATCAATAATCACCTTGATGACGTTATGAAACGACAGGAAGTGAAATATATACAAGATGTCGCCAGTGATGTTTATCAACAGGTTGGTTTCTAGTACTTTAGTCATTTTAAAATATTATGACAATAAAACATTTCAAGAAAAATTCAAAAATATGCATTGAGGGAAATTTTGCGCAGAGGTATAACCATTATATTCTATATTTTCAGGGAAAATGGGCCTACACTTATTGGAGAATAGAAGAGAATATTGAAGCTAGATTGAGAGAAATGGTAGATTTAGTCAAAGAGATTTTTGAAGATGAAATGAAACAATCCTTGGAAAAATTCAACTTTTTAAGAAAATCGAAAGTAGAAGTTTATCAACCAGAGAAAGGCGAAATTGCTGTTGAATTATATTTACCAATGCCTGTGTCTACTTTAAAAGAAATGCCTGATACGGATGCCTATGTAGAAGAAATGAAAGATTTAGTTGTAGATTATACTCCATCTTTAGAATCAATCACCAAGATGTACGAAGATGTAAGTGTCACTTTGCATTCTCTCACATCCATGGTTCGATTATGGTTTTTCATTCCATTTTGATCTGAGTTAAATTCCGTGATTGCTGCAGAATCATCCAAGAGAAGGCCTAAATATCCCCCATTTTTATTAATATAAACGATGAATGGACAAAAGCTAAATCCTAAGTTTGACCTAATATTTAATTATGGTCTAGGCCTGGGCTATACTTCATAGGTATTAGGTTAATGTTGTTATATTACATGAATTTGACCTTCTGTTTCAGTATGCACCAACTATTTTCGCCAAATCAACCGATAACAACACATCTTTCCAGCCTCCAAGCTTGGTGAGTAAATCATTCTTATTCAGCTCGTCATATGTTGACTTGACAGTTCCGGATATAAAATCCTCATCAGGACAGCTTGAAAAATTGTTTAGAACTGAATCTTTCACAACAGTCAGGACTTAGACTTTCGAAAATGAAATGAGATGAAATATCCACGTCCTATTTTTTTTTTTTACACCGAATTAGGCTAATGAAGGGGGACAACGCCATGCAGTGTACAATGTGGAAAAGTTTGTCATTAGCCTACTCTTTATCGATGATCTGTAGCACATGGGACCTCGGTTTGGCGTCCCATCTGAACGACCAGAGGGTCAGCCCCTAAAACTAAACAAGATCTATCACTTTTTCGAGGCATCGACAGAAATGTTAAAAATATAAGCAAACTCACTGAACAAGAGTCCGCTTCTGTCAATTTGGTAGTTGATTCTATTGGGGGAAACACGGAGAGAGTAGACACCACTGTGAAGATGCCACTTAGCCATAGATCACTGAAATAAATCGTCAAAACACAACCATCTCAAGCTGTGTTCAGCAGCCGACAAACGTCCATAGAGTTACTTCCCTTCAACGTACTGGAAAGGGAGGTAACTCTGCATAAAAATCCAGACACTGATTAAATCATGTAGTTAAAAGTAGTCAATATCATTAACCTATCATTATTATTGATTTTTTCAGCCTACAATAAGAAAAGTTCGAAGACTAGGTAACTAAAATGGTAGACGACCAAAACAAACCCAACCAATCAACAATTAATTTAAAACCAATTAATACTTTTGATTTAATTTATTTCTTTATTTTATTTTTGTGAATTGTAAACTGTTTTGATTATTTGTAAAATTTGAAAATAAAATTATAAAAGCATTAACCAAAGTGTCTTAACTATCCATTTTGTTCTGGTGGGAAGTGTTAAGATCTTAATTAAGAGATCAACTAGAAAGGTTTCCAAGCAGATATGTAGATGTCTTGAGCACCCTGGAAAGTGAAATAGAAAAGAGTGAAACTTTTTGGGGGACTTTTCCAGAGCATTTGCAACTCTACAGTACACTGGCCTCAGTTTATTCTTCCATCTGAATAACATCTTTTTACCTTTTGTCATTGTTTCCAACTGATTCTTGTGTATTGCTTAATCTCAACAATGAAATTTTACATCCTTTCTGTAAGCAGCCTAAACGACAAGTTAGTAATGTCATGCATGTGTAATCGGAAGATTTTTCATTTCTGCAACAACATTAGACAGATCATTTTTATTTCATTCGAATTTTTAATGTCAGTCATGTCAGATGATATTTGTTGAGCATAATACAATTAACCTCAAACTAAAACCATTGTTTCAGGGTTTTGATTGGCTCATGATTTCTTGTCAGTCAACTACGGTTGATTTGTTTTGTCGTCTATGGGCAAATTGAATAGGCATAGAATGCAAAGATTATCGGATTTCCAAAGCCGAGTCGCAGAATAATGAAAGAATTCTGTTTTATCCTGCAGGTCTGATGGTGTTACACCATCTAAGTGTTTCTTTCCAAAGTTGCGTGGAAACAGTCGTTGGCCGTGGACAAATTAGTACCCGTCACTGAGTATTGGTGTTTAATGACCACAGCGAAAATTAGCCGCTCTATATTGTCTCTCTGTGTCTATACCGACTCTCGGGACCCTACCAACCCAATCAAATTTGACGCGTTTTTACTAAGTCAAGGGCAATAACTCTGAAACAATTCATGCGATTATTACCAATTTTGAACTTGACTGAGATCTCATCAATCCATACATGCAAACCAAGTTTCATGAAGATCGGATAAAAAATGTAGTCTGGAGCCTACAGGGCAAATTTGACGCGTTTTTACTAAGTCAAGGGCAAAAACTCTGAAACCGTTCTTCCGATTATTACTAATTTCGAACTTGTTCGAGATCTCATCAATATATACATGCATACCAGGTTTTGTCAAGATGGGATAAAAAAAACTGTAGTCTCTATCGTGTCTACAAATCAAATTTGAGGCGTTTTTTCTAAGTCAAGGGCAAAAACTCTGAAACCGTTCTTCCGATTATTACCAATTTCGAACTTGTTCGAGATCTCATCAATATATACATGTTTCATCAAGATCGGATAAAAACTGTAGCCTCTATCACGCCTACAAGAAATGTTTACGGACGGACCGACGGACAGGGGCGACGGCAATATACGTCCACATTTCCATGTGGCCACGGTCCCCCCTCGGGCCTGTTAAAGGTCTTATTTGAAGTGACAATTAAACCCTCTAAAACCTCAAAATTCAACTATCGACACCTACGCAGCACCTTATACAAGACAATATAGGAAACTCATACCTGAAATATTGAAGATGCGTTAAACATAAAATATGCCAATTACAAAAACACTTTCAACTAACAGGATTAAAATACAGAAGTTCCAAAGATCAAAGATCAAAGATCAAATACAGATCCAAAACTGACAGACAGTGGCGACAAGACCAAGTTTAGTTGTGGTTAAGAAGAGCAGAAAAGTGCTCACCTTAAGAGATAAACTATAAGAAAGCTGCGATTAGATTTGAGCTGTGTTTATTAGTAATTACAATAGTAATAAGTGTTTTAATCAGGTATACATTCTATACAATCTGGACTTTCAGTTTGAAACCTGTAATCTAAAATCAACTCCGCTACACACTTTGTTGTTTCAATTCAACCTCCCATTCAGCAAGTCTACAAAGCTTATAGTGCTATTTGTTGTGTCCAATCGGCCTCCCTTTCAGCAAGTCCACAAAGCTTTTGGTGCTATTTGTTGTGTCCAATCGGCCTCCCTTTCAGCAAGTCAACAAAGCTTATAGTGTTATTTGTTGTGTCATATCGGCCTCCCTTTCATCAAGTCTACAAAGCTAATAGTGCTATTTGTTGTGTCATATCGGCCTCCCTTTCAGCAAGTCTACAAAGCTTATAGTGTTATTTGTTGTGTCATATCGGCCTCCCTTTCATCAAGTCTACAAAGCTAATAGTGCTATTTGTTGTGTCATATCGGCTTCCCTTTCAGCAAGTCTACAAAGCTTATAGTGTTATTTGTTGTGTCATATCGGCCTCCCTTTCAGCAAGTCTACAAAGCTTATAGTGTTATTTGTTGTGTCCAATCGGCCTCCCTTTCAGCAAGTCAACAAAGCTTATAGTGTTATTTGTTGTGTCATATCGGCCTCCCTTTCATCAAGTCTACAAAGCTAATAGTGCTATTTGTTGTGTCATATCGGCCTCCCTTTCAGCAAGTCAACAAAGCTTATAGTGTTATTTGTTGTGTCATATCGGCTTCCCTTTCAGCAAGTCTACAAAGCTAATAGTGTTATTTGTGTAATATCGGCTTCCTTTTCAGCAAGTCTACAAAACTAATAGTGTTATTTGTGTAATATCGGCCTCCCTTTCAGCAAGTCTACAAAACTAATAGTGTTATTTGTGTAATATCGGCTTCCTTTTCAGCAAGTCTACAAAACTAATAGTGTTATTTGTGTAATATCGGCTTCCTTTTCAGCAAGTCTACAAAGCTAATAGTGTTATTTGTGTAATATTGGCCTCCCTTTCAGCAAGTCTACAAAACTAATAGTGTTATTTGTGTAATATCGGCTTCCTTTTCAGCAAGTCTACAAAACTAATAGTGTTATTTGTGTAATATCGGCTTCCTTTTCAGCAAGTCTACAAAGCTAATAGTGTTATTTGTGTAATATTGGCCTCCCTTTCAGCAAGTCTACAAAACTAATAGTTATTTGTGTAATATCGGCCTCCCTTTCAGCAAGTCTACAAAGCTTTTAATGCTATTTACAGATCTAGTGTTATTTGTTGTGTCAATCCAGCCATCCTTTCAGAAAGTCTCCATGTCTCTGGTGTATCAATCCAGTCTCCAGATTTCAATCAATCTATTATAAATGTATCCCTTTAATGTGGAAAAGATCTAAATATAGCCCTGATATTTTCTATCTTCACTGATATCAACCTTTCCTCGATACAATGATTACCTTGCATCTGACACAGTTACAGAGTTCGCTGTTAAGTTTTGGACTTTGAAATGTTGTTGAAGATTAGAGAGAGTATAAATATACCAGTTCGATCATCTCTGGTTAATTCAGAATAATAGAAGAACATTAGTGTACAAGCGGTGGTCTCACGCTGTAAAATGGAGACTAAAATACTGCTACTCGCAGTCCTTGTGGCTGGAGCGCTGGCAGGTAGGAATCTTTCATATTTACCTTTACATTTTTCATATTTTAACTAAATGTCCGGTTGTTCCTGGTTCCATTATTTGAATTCGAATGTTTGAATATGGAAATATTTTCCATTTTGAGTGGCTTCTCCCCTTTTTAACTCTGTCGTTTGGTTTTTCAACTGACCACCCGCTCCGGAATATATTGATAGCTTATAATGTTTATATATGATAATTTTTCACTTTTCAGGACCAATTAATGTTCGATATGGAAACGATAACACAATGTGTGCACAGAAATGCACAGGTAAATTAAAACTTTGTCTTATATACAAATGTTAAAAGTATTTTTATAATCGGTAATGTACAAGTATCTCAAATTGTACAAAAAGATTTTTATTTACATTTTATTAGAGTACCAGAATCAGAATGAAAACATAACCGCAACTTTCGTTAACACATACACCTTTGGCGATTCTGGAATCCTCTAAATTTAGATATCGACCCGGAATGACCTATGAATTTGATTATAATGTACAAACTCTGACTACAATGGAAGGTGCTGCAGAAGAAAAGGCAACCCTGGGACTCAAAGCAACAGCTCATGTTGAGATCCTCTCTAAATGTGAACTTGCTCTTCAGGTGAGTAAAACAGTACAATGGTCACGGATGGGTTGATGTACCAATACAAGATGCCTTCTATTGCAGTATTTCTTAATCGTATATTACGTATTGTTACAAGTTCGTGTGTCAATCCAGTTGAAGTGATAAATTAAGTACCATGTTTCAAATATGGCATCATTCAACCAATTTGATTTATTTTCCAGTTAAGAGATGTAAGAGTTTACCAATCGGATCCAACCACAGCCATGAAACCAGTTGACAGCTCAGAATTCAGATCCGCTCTCGAATCACATCCTCTTAGATTTGCTTTCCAAGATGGTGTCGTGGAGGAACTGTGTCCTGAATCTGGTGAAACTTCCTGGGCTTTGAACATCANACGTGGTGTCCTTTCAACATTCCAGAATGCTATGGACTCTTTTGAAAGCGAACAGTCAGTGCATGAGGTAATTTCTTTAAGTTTTTTGAATTTTTTTTTTTAGATCATTG